AACATGTAGGACCTGAATTAAAAATTTATTTAAAACAAAAGAATCATAGGCACATGGTGCACATACATAACACTCATAAAATAAAAACTTTTTTTTTAAATTAAAAAATAAAAGAATGCAGCTGGGCGGTTGGTGGCGCAAGTCTTTAATCCCCGCACTCAGGAGGCAGAGGCAGGCGGATCTCTGTGAGTTTGAGTCCAGCCTGGTCTACAGAGCAAGATCCAGGACAGGCACCAAAATTACACAGGGAAACTGTCGAAAAACAAACAAACAAACAAAAAGTAATAAATAAATAAAATAAGAGAATCCTATCTCCTTCTAGAGTTGCACGCTCCTCTTTTGTACTGTTGAAGACTTTATAGTAAAGTAGGATATGCCCCGCCCCCCCCACAGTTATTTCATGGTTATCAACAAATGAATTATAAAATTTATAAAAAGTAAAAAGCCACAGCTTAGCCAACACAATTTTGAAAGTGAAGATAATCAGAGAGCTAACACTATCAGCGTTTAAGACTACAATAATTAGGGCTGGAGAAATGGCTTAGCAGTTAAGAGCACTTGCTACTCTATCAGAAGACCCAGGCTCTGTTCCCATCACCTTCGTGGCAGCTCTTCTGGCTTCCATGGGCAGTGCATGCATGGGCATACATGCAGGCAAACTACTCATACACATAAAATGAACATAAATATAAACCAAGTGTTTTGGAGCACATCTTTAATTCCAGTACTTGAGACTATCTCTGTGAGTTCAAGGCCAGTCTAGTCTACATAGTGAGTTCCAGGCCAGTCAAAGATACACAAGCAAGACTATGTCTCAAAACAAACCAACAACAAAAAAAAAAATGTTAATAAAAAGTAAATTTGGAAAAGACCACAAAAATCAATACAAGTACAGAATGGAGAGCCTATAAACAGAAGTAATCTTTGACAAGAAGAGCAAAGGCAGTACCAAAGAGTAAAACAGTACTTTTGACAACTAGTACTGAAGTAACTGGACATCCATCCACATGCACACACACAAAAGAATCTAAACAGACTTACACCTCCAAGAAAATAAACCTTAAAGGAATTACAAACCTAAATGTAAAATGCAAAACAAATTTCTGCACATCAACTTCAACACCAACACAAAATCTAGATGATATTAGGTCTGGTGATAATTTTTTAGATAACACCATGAAGGCAAGATCCAGGGATAGGCAAGGAGACCATGCTCAAACCTGAGTTCAATCCTTGACACTGAAAAATAAAGACAAAAAAAGAAAAGACAGGCTCAGAAGTCCATACCTGTAATCCCACCACTTTGGAGGCTGGGACAGAAAATTACTAAGAGTTTGAGGCCAGCCGGAGCTATACAGAATGAGTCTCTGCCCTCTCCTTCAAGACTGAAAAGAAAGCCACACTGAGCAGAACGGTTGCTGCAGCAAGTTAGAGGTCACCCTTCAGTACATGAGAATCATAACCCCAAATGGAATGAACGTGAAATGCTCTCTAGATACCAGCCTTACACATGAAAGTAGAAATACACTTAACCCCAAGCATGGTAAGTAAGGGCTGATTTCAAGGACTAGTTCTGCAGTCCTGGGGAGAAAACATGGATGGGGGAGGGGTTCCTTCTTTTTTAAAAGCAGTAGTCAGGAAAAGAACTGCTGAGCAGAGAAAGGCCTGGTACTAAAACACAAAGCTCACTTAGAAGCACTGGGCCCAATGGAGGGGGCTCAGTTAGTCACTGCAGTTGGAAGAAGGGACAGTTTTAAAAGAGCAACAAAACAGCTCTTTTCAAAGGTAGACTGGAGCCCACGTTTAGACCTTGCAAACAAGTTTAACTTTTATTTTCCAGCTACAAAAGCCATGGAAGCAACTGATGACATTTGAGAAACACCTGGCAACAGGCTACAGAATGAACTAGATAGAGATTAGAACACATAAAATGCTTAGATCCCTTGGGGCCTCCTGTTACCATGTGTCTAAGCAAGGACAGGTAGTTCTGGGCTGTCCCTAGGCCTTGGAGACCACAGTAGAGAGGACAGAGTAAAGAAGATGGAGGGACTGAAGCCAGACTGCTGTTAAGGCACAGACAGAAAGAAGTACATTCTGAGGTGGGGAGGAGCCAAAGGGTTAAACCTGGGACAGGCAAAATGGACTGAGTTGAAGCACAAAGCTAGACCCAGACTACTAAGCTTGTTTTAAAAGTAGTTCCCACCCACTTCCCACATCTTAAATCACTTTTTCTCCTTATTCAACATGTTCTATAACTACAGTCTTTCCCAAGCATAGTTTCTTCTTTTTTCTTTTCTTTCTTTCTTTTTTCTTTTTTTTTCCCTCTCAAGACAGGGTTTCTCTGTGTAACAGCTCTGGCTGTACTGGAACTCACTTTATAGAACAGGCTGGCCTTGAACTCAGAGATCTACCTGGGATTAACAGCATGAGCCACCATGCCCAGCAGCATGCCACATTTTAACAGGTACTGAAATCCAAAAGGAAAGCCCTCTCTTTAAGACTAACCCCTGAGCAGGACGCAGGCCTTTAATCCCAGCACTCAGGAGGCAGAGGCAGGCAGACCTCTGTGAGTCTGAGGCCAGTCTGGTCTACAGGGTGAGTTCCAGGACAGTCAACAATAGAGAGACACCCCATCTTGAAACATGCTCCACTCCAAAAAAATGACTAACTGCTGTAGAGAAAAAGAAAACAAAAAAACAAGACATTCTCAGTGCTTTTGACTGGTTTGAACAAAGCAGATTTAACTGATAGTGAAAGCTCCCTGGAGAGAACTACCAATAGGCATAGAGTTGTCCAAACAGACCCTAGGCCAGTGTGTAAGAGGGAACACCAGAGAGCGGTCAACAGATCTCAGGCAAGTCACTCAGCTAGAGTTTTGGGTTTGATGAAACAGTTTCATGTAATCGAGACTGGCCTCCAACTTTTTTAACTCCTGATACTCTACCTCCCCCTCCCCAGTGGTGGGATAAGCACAAAAACATTAGGCCCAGCTTTACTTTTTTTTTTTTTTTGGTTTTTCAAGACAGGGTTTCTCTGTGTCCTGGCTGTCCTGGAACTCACTGTGTAGACCAGGCTGGCCTCAAACTCACAGAGATCTGCCTGTCTCTGCCTCCCTCCCCCGAGTGCTCGGATTAAAGGCCTGCACCACCATGCTCGGCTTCAGCTTTACTTCTCTAGGAAGAGAATGTGCCACAGTAATCTCTACCATTCTGTTGGGTGAGAACTGTCAGGCCTGCCAGGGTTTAAGTTTGGGGACAAGTTTTTCTAGGACACTCAACAATGATTTGAACATCTGTGGTCATAGACATCCATATCTGACACATCCACATATCCATGAGGGGCCTGCAACACAAAGAGTTAATTTTGCTGCATTCATGACTCTTGGTGAAAGACTGGGCGTGGCAAAGGAATCGAATGACTAGAACTGGATTTGAGGATTATTGATGGCAGCCAGCCAGCCAGCCAGCCAGTTTCTAGACACTTGGCACTCAACCGGGTCAACCAAACAGAAGCTAGTAGAAAATGACCAAATGGGTTTTTAAAGGTCAAACAAAAGGACCCGAACGTACTCAGTACTGAAAGCCGAGCACTTGTGCAATAATGGCAAAGGGATGGCTACACTTCTCTATTAAGTCTGAGTACATAAAAATCTATGTATTTTTAATCTAAGATGAAATATTTAAACTTAAAAGGAGTAAGGGACGCCAGGCAGAGTGGCAGATGTCTTTAATCCCAGCACTCGAGAGGCAGAGACCGGATTTCTGTGAGTCTGAGATCAGCCTGGTCTACAGAGTGAGTTCCAGGACTGCCAGAGAGCTACAGTGGAGGGGGGGGGGGGCGGGGAGACCCCCAACGGCTCCGACAGGGAATGAGGAACCAGGCATGGTGGGGCATATAATCCAGCACTTTGGGAGGTAGAGGCAGGATCATCAGTGATTCAAGGCCAGGCTCCAATACCTAGGAAGTCCAAGATTACTTTGCCTACAAGAGACCTTATCCTTCAAAAGAGGAGGAATTCCTTCTCCTTCACACTTACTTTTGGGGCCACGCCTCCAGACACTGGCCAGTAACACAGGTACACGAAGGTTTAAGAGCCTCAGGAGATGAGTGGGTGACTGCCACCTTCCATCAACACACATCACCTCCTGTCTCCCTCTCCCTCACTTCGGGACACAGTGTCTCAGCATGTAGCCCTGGCAGGCCTGAAACTCGCTATGTAGGCCAAACTGGCCTCGAACTCAGAGACCAGCCTGCCTCGGCCTCCCAAGCGCCAAAGGAGTATTCCTGGTGGGGGAGGGGGTTGTAATCAAACAACAGACTAGAGGCACGTTAAGGGAAAGTTACCCGGTGAGAGATTCGCCCCTCTCTTTCTAAAGCCCAGCCACAACATCCCTTTTTCATTCAAGGCCTCCGTAAGGAAACGGCTTCCTAGACACATCTATTTTGAGCTTCCGTAAAGAATGCACTTGTGTGACTGCATAGTATTGTTCTCCCGCAGGGGACCGGGGGCATCCCAGCATACATTTCCCCAAAGCTCTCCCGAAGGCCGCCTACCGCGCTCTCCGGGACTGTGCTGCGGACCCGCGGCGCTCACCTCTATCCCGGCCGCCGCCCCGCCCCGTCGTCCCCCCCTCCGCCCCCCGCGCGGCGCCGCAGCCACCGACCTGATGACACTGATGTGGAACTGGTCCTCGCGAAGGCCCCGCCAGGCACCGGGCAGGAACTCCTTGCACCACAGGTAGGCCCGGCGCCGCGTCCGGGGCTCAGGTTGATCGTCCGCTAGCGGCGGCGATGGCGGCGGGGGCAGCGGCAGGGGAGGCGACGGCGGCGGGAGCAGCGCGAGAGGCTGGGTCCGGCCACCAAGCTGCTTGGGCTCCAGCTCGACTGCGGCGTCGCGCTGCTGCCCCACGCCGGGCGCCGGGGCAGCGTTGCCACCGCAGCTCAGCAGCAGCCCGAGCGGCGACGGCTCCGCCTCGCCCCCGGTGCAGAACTTGGTTTTCATGTCGGACAGGCGGCCGAGAAGGCGCGGACGGCCGCAGCGCGAGAGGGCGACGCTCAGGGTCCGACTGGATGCCCGCCTCGGGGGGCCGGGCGCGGGAAATGGCTCCCCGGCTTCGTTGGCTGGCCGGGCGGCGGTTGTGGGAGCGCGCGGGGAGGCGGCGGCGGCGGTGGCGGTGGCGGCGGCGGGGAGAGGCAGCAATGGATGGCGGGCAGCGGTGGCGAGGGACGAGCGCGGAAGGCTGACGGCGGGCGACTGCTGTAGTGGGCCGCGGCGCTCGCTCCTTTACAGCGCCGCACGCGGAGCGCCAAGCGTCACCGCCCGCCCCCGCGCTCACCGCTGATTGGACGCTGCGGCGCATCACAACCGCCGCCGCCCTCGCCACGCAGCTCTCCTATTGGCTGCGGCACAGCCCCTCCTCGACTCAGGCGGTGAGCCCACGGTGAGGGAGGGGCCCGCGCACCAAGGGGCGGGGCCTGGTGCAGGGGTCCCGGGGGTCCGGGGAAGACCAGCCATCTCGTGTGTCGGTGCTCACCAGGCGGCGTCTTTGCGGACTCCGGCCTCCCAAGGCAGGAGAGGAGAAGCCTCTGCAGCTTTGGCAGACTCTAGAGTGGGCCTTGAGAGGGACCCTTTCCTTAGACGCCCCCACGTCTGAAAGCGGTAACTTCAAAGGATCCGGGGGCTTTACAGGGGCTGGCAGGAAATTGGTGTCTGGAGGCTGTCTGCTTTTTCCGCGTGACCTTGGGGCAAGGCAGCTCCTGAAGGAGCTCCGTGGGTGTGTTTCTACAACATTTCCCAGGAGCTGTGCGAGATGCATCCACGCCAGGTCCAACTCAGGGCCGGAGGCATTACTATGCGCGGTTCAGATAGCAAAAGGGAGGTGACTGAGTCAAGGCCACACACACCATTGCCAACTGGAAGCACACTCCCTGTTTCCGAAGAAGCCTCCCTCTACACGCCTGCAGCCTCAGTTTCCCTGTCCGTGGTGCTGAGGATGTCGGCTAGATCTCAGGACATCTTCCCAACAGCCTGGCCTCGGCAGCCGCCAGGATTAATATACAAAGGTGCTTGCTTCGCGATTCCTGGCTTTGCGGACGCTGTCATCTGCCCCCCCTCCTCTACCGGATGTCCAATCTCGTGACCATGACTAATGTACCTTTGCTGTAGGGCATGGAGGGGGGCCAAGGCCCCTTCGCTGTATACCCACACATTGCTTCATTCTTTGGCCTCCTTGTTCAGTTCTTCCAGGAAGTAATTTGAAGTGTAGAAAATATAAACTACAGGTCTGTGTGGTGGGACATAACTGGGAAAAAAGATTTCCCCAACTGCCAGAGGTCTAGGAAATCCAGAGCCGAGCATGCAGAAAATGGCTTTTTTAAAATAGGGTTCACAGTCTTCAAAAAGAGTGGGTCCTTATCTGAACATGCTTCCCCCCAAAAAATGATCTTATTGAACAAAAGAGTGCAAATGATCTGGGCATAGTGGCACACACCTTTAATGTCAGCATTTAAGAGGCAGAAGCAGGAAGATCTCTGTGAGTACCAGACAGTCAGAGTTACATAGCCAGACCCTGTCTTTAAAAAACAAAAACAAAAACAAAAAAAAAAACCCATAAAACATCGGGTTGAGAATTTAGCTCAGTGGTAGCAAGTGCAAGGTCCTGGGTTCCGTCCTCAGCTCCGTGGCGGGCGGGAGTGGGTGGGTGGGAGGTAGCAAATGAAAGGAGACTTTGGCAGGCCTGGAGTTGAACTCCAGAGAAGTAGGGGAAAAAGGAGGCCAGCTCCACTGGCTGCTAGGAAGGCTGAGAAATCAAGGTCTCCATTCAGGAAGGCATTTAGATAAGGGAGCCAAGGACTTTGAAAACACCAGCCCATGTGGATGGAGGTGGAGCCTTGCCACTGGCCAGCTCAGGTGACTGGCCCTTTGTCCTCATACCAATGCCCATAATCTCAGAGGAATGTTGGAGAGCTGGCTGAGGAGAAGCTGCTCCAGAAGAAAGGAGGGCTCTGTAATTTGAAGTAACTTTCTCTCTGACCTCTGCTGGTTTAGACTAGGAGAACCCACAGGCGCCTTCTGTGGCTGTAAGAGGTCGCCCCAGTAAAGGGGTTGGAAAGGTTCCCAGGACTCAAAGCTTGGAAAGTACATGAACTTGGAGTGTGGGATAGATGGGGGGGCTGTGGGATTCACGGAGCTGAGACTGCAGTACAGACACTAGCACAATTTGAAGCTACCGCAAGCACGGCTTCCCCCTTCTAGAAGCCTAAGTCCTTGGTGTTAATTTAAGGCAAACCAGTGGACAGTCCTTGGTAGTCAAAGTATAACATGGCTGTTAGGCCCATTTTGGTGGCACAGGTCTGGAATCCCAGCACGTGGGCGGCAGAAGCAGGAGAATCGAGAGTTCAAGGCCATCTTCACCTATATAACGAATTTGAGGCCAGCCTGGGCAAAATGAAACCCTGTGTCAAAACCAAAAGAATGGCTGTATAATTTACAGATAGCCTGGCTGGGAGTGGTGGCATGGGTAGGCATGTGACTCTAAAGCTTGGTAGTTTGAGACTGAGACAGAATGATGCTTTCTAGTTTGAGGGCAGTCTGGGCCACATACAAAGTCCAGCCAGAGTAAGACATTAGGACACACACACACACAAACACACACACACACGGGGTGAGGACCCTAATGACACATGTATAAAATTGCCGTAATGGAGCCTATCACTTTGATATTAGCTTTTAAAATTAAGAAAAAGGCCGGGCGGTGATGACACATGCTATTCATCCCAGCTCTCGGGAGGTAGAGGCAAGCAATTCTCTGAGTTTGAGGCCAGCCTGGACTACAGAGCAAGTTCCAGGATGGTCAGAGCTACACAGAGAAACCCTGTCTTCAAAAACAAAAAACAAAAAAGGAAGAAGAAAAGAAAAAAAAAGATGCTGGAAAGATGGCTCAGTGGTTAACATCGTTGGTTGCTTTTCTAGAGGACCCAGGTTCAATTCCCACTTTAACTCAATTCCAGGAGATCTGGTGCCTGATTCTTGCCTCTGAGGGCACCAGGCATGAGCCAAGTGCATTTATTTGCAGGCAAAGCACTCATACACAGAAAATAAAAATAAATTTTAATTTTAATTTTTTTTAAAGAAAAAGAAACTGCAATTCAGCTTTGAAATCTCCATTTAATAGGTCAAAAAATAGAAGCTCCGAGTAGCTAATAATTACCCAAGTCGGGGGAGATTGCTCAATTGCTCAGTAGGTAAAGTGCCTTTTTTTGTTTGTTTGTTTTTTGGTTTTTCAAGACAGGGTTTCCCTGTGACAGCTCTGGCTGTCCTGGAACTCACTCTGTAGACCAGGCTGGCCTTGAACTCACAGAGATCTGCCAGCCTCTGCCTCCCCGCCCCTCCAATGCTAGGATTAAAGGCACGCACAGCGTAAGTGCTTCCTGTACAAGACAGGAGCTCCATCCCCAAATGTACATTAAAACAAAAAGCTAGTGTGGTGGCTTGTGCTTAGATCAAAATCCCAGTGCTGGGGTGACAGAGTCAGGTGGATTTCTGGGGCTCACCAGCAGCCAGCCTAGCCAATTTGTTGAGTTCCAGGCCAGGGAGAGACCCTGTCTCAAAAAACAAGGTGGACAGTGAAAGGTTCCAGTACCCCAATATTAAGTTTCTCTGACTACGCAGTAAGCCAAATCAAGTGGAATTAAAAATAAAAGACCAGGTTCACTGAGCAAAACGCTCCCTGGTGACCTTTCAGGCCCCCAGAGATGAGATGGGGAGAAGAGACTAAGGTGGGGGGGGATCAAGTGGCCGCTCTCAAGTAGGCAGTTTAAATACCCTGTAGGCTCCGGCTTGAACAGCTCCAGGGAAGGGTTCCCTTGGTGGGTTTTCTGAGAGGGGTGGGGTTTGGAAAGGGGAGGGGTGGAACTGAGGTGTAGCTTCCAGCTGAACAAACAGCACTCAGGAATATCACCTGAGGTTGCCTCCTGATCTCTACACACACATGCACTCATATGAGGATACTCCCACATGAGCACAACTCCTCCCCCTCACACACACCACACACACACACACACACACACACACACACACCACACACACACACCACACAAACACACATACACACCACACACACACACCACACAAACACACACACACACCACACACACCACACACACACACC